AGTCTTGAATCAATACATTCATTTGCTATGAGAACGGAGTCCAAGATCTGTCGCCCTTTGACAAAAGCATTCTGATATTTAGAAACCACTTTTCCCAGCGCCTCCTTTAATCTATTAGCCAAAACCTTTGCAATAATCTTATACACCCCACTTACTAGACTGATAGCTCGAAAGTCCTTAATGTCTGTCGCTCCTGGTTTTTCTGGGATCAGCACAATAAATGTAGTATTAGAGCTTTTCAAGAATCTGCCACACTGGAAAAAGTAAGCAAAAACATCCACAATGTCCGAACGTATCACCTCCCAACAAGCCTTGTAGAATGCGAAGGAAAATCCGTCCGGTCCTGGGGCCTTGTCATCATTCATACTGAACACCACCTCCCTAATCTCGTCCTCCCCAAATGGTCTTTCTAACCAACTGACATCCTCCTCAGAAATAGTGGAAAACTCTAGCCCCTCAAGCTCTAGCCTCCAATCAAACTGCTCCTTATAAAGGTTTTGGTAGAAACTCACCATTTGGATACCAATATCCTGTGGGTCCTCAAAAGTTACGCCATCCACCTCCAGCATAGAGAGACAATTATTGCGCCTGTTGGAATTGGCCACCCTATGGAAAAACTGTGTACACTTATCTCCCTCTCTTAACCACTTGACCCTAGATTTCTGGCACCAAGAAATCTCCTCCATCTCCACCAACCTCTCCAGGTCACCCCTTAATTCTTGACGTCGCTCCCTCTCGTCCCCTCCCAATCCTCGACTTTCCTCCTTCCTATCCAATTTCTCTATTTCTAAGGTGCATTGATTTTTACGCCAGTTAACATCCCCCACCTCCTCCTCATTCTACCTTTTGAGGTATCATTTTAAAGCCTTTAATTTCTGGTCCAACACATAACTGGGGGACCTCCTGAACTTGTAAGAGGCCCACCAAGTCCGTACTCGCTCCCCAAAACCATCCACTTTAAGCCACATTTTTTCAAGCCTAAAAGACCTCCCGCTATATCCCACATCCCCAGATAATGAAATTGGGAAATGATCTGAGTATACCCTCCCTAGTCTCCTCTGAGCGACATCCGGGTATTTAGCCTCCCACTCCACACTAATCAAGAACCGATCTATTCTAGAATGAACAGGTAGCTCTCGATTAGATGATCAAGTAAAATCTCCCCCATCAAAGGCATATCTACCAACATATTCTCCCTGATAAAATCTGAAAAGTCCTCCATAGCCCCTGTTAGTCTCACGCCGCTAGACCTTTTAGTAGGAAAGCGGACCACATTAAAATCACCCCCTATGCACGTTGGGAGGTTCCACCAAACCATCATACCTGCCAATTCATCCCACAATCCGCCTCTACTTTCATCAACATTAGGCCCATAAACTCCTATGATCATCCAACGAAATCTATTCCCAATATTTGTAAATGAAAGGGATAGGGAAAAAAGCCCTTCACTAACCTCCTCCAATTGAAAGACTCTAGTATCCCACACAATAAGCACCACTCCTGAAGCCCCCACTGACCCCACAAATTGATACCCAATATGTTGTCCCTCCCATAAGCTACTAACAACAGCCCTCGAAACAGTCTCCAACTTTGTCTCCTATAAGCAAACAATGTCAGCCTTCCAACCCCTTAAGAGATTTCGAACACCTAACCTTTTACCAGCTTCATTGAGCCAATGAAGCCCCCTCACATTCCAGCAAACAATTTTTGGGATCATCTTGACACACTTTCATCCCTCCCCATCAATCCTCTTCTTGACTCACCACTCCTTATGTCATAATTAACCGAGCATTCAAGCCTTTTAAGTTCACGGTCACCCTTTCTTCTTGTCTTACCTCCTCGTGTATCCATCCCTTGTCCCTTACTCGCCTCCAACTCCTCAAATAGTTGCAAGAGCTTACGTTCATACCCATCACAGGACACCCCCGCCATTTTGCTAAGTCCATTTTTTGAAGAGCCCAGCTCGATGGTGGTGGTCTAAAGTCAAGCTCACTCATTTCCACTATCTCCCCAGAGGAAAGCTGATCATATTGTAAGTCCTCTTCTTCCACCCAACCTACATCCCTATTTATATCCTCCTTTTTGGCGCCCTCCACCCAAACAACTAGCGCTTTATCATTCCCCGATTCTCCCTCATTTATAGACTTAGAGTATCTCCTCCAGTAAGTATTCGTGACCATCTTTGCCAAACCTGTTGCCCCTTGTTGTTTCTTAATTGCCACATCCAGTCTCTCCGACTCCAAATTCATCAAACGCGGTTCCCCTTCCTTGTCCCTTACTTCCACCTCTGCCCCTCTACTTTGTACTTGAGCCTCGCCACTTGGCTCAACCATCACCTCTGTAGTGTTAGCCCTCTTCGATTTCAACCCTTAGACACCTCATTAGCTACTACATTTCCGTTTGCTGTATAGTCTTCTGGGCCCACTCCACACGCAGGACAATACTTCTGCTTATAACCCATTATCTTCCCGCTATCCAATAACCTCATAGTTCATCCAATTCCCCTTTCAGTGCCTTTATATGTGCCCTTATGTCAGCATAGTTTGCAGAAATATCATACGTTCGTTCAATAGTCTTATTGCTGTCCTTATGTGCCGTTAAATGGCCTTCCTTGTTTGGTCCCCAGATTCGTGGAACACTTCTCTCATTTACCGGTTTATCCTTCTGTGTCCGTACTCATTGATCAGCATTCTGAGAGGCCTGTGCCGTATCTGCAGCATAGGCCATCCCTTGCAGGCTCTGATCTTCCACTACTGGATGCTTGGCCTTATCTTCGACAACAAATGATTCTATAACTGCTTGAAACACGCGAGAGATCGCTGCCCATCCCTCTCCATTACGCCCTTCAGGTACCATCACTACACCCTGTCGCCGTCCTCCCCATTCTGCGCTATTATGAGATATCTTCCACGATTGTTAGTACATCGTTGTGCCAAATACGCTCAGGGGGTCTCATTAAATTTTGCTACAAAATCCTTCGACACACTAGCCATCCTCAGCTTATCCATCATATTAACCATTCACATAGTTCCAAATCTTCCCATGAGAATAGCACTGGAGATCTTAGCTCCCCATTCTGATATCTTAACCATGCCTGAATCAGTGACAGACACAACAAATTGTTTTGCCTCAATTTTGAAACTGGAGCTGAAGACCAACATGCCATTAGGAACTCTCTGTCTCCCTAGATTTCGTGCAACCGAAGCATCATACGAAGAAACAGGATGGTTATTTGTCTCTGGAGAATTCTGCACGATCTGACGCGCCACGCGCCGGCAAGCGCGTGCTAAGATCGGCGAGTCCACTGCGCTGCCTCTCCCCCGTGGTCGGAATGCCCTGACCAAGTCTCCTGTCAGGCGCATCGGTCGGAATTCTGGCCGGATCTTGAGCCATCTAGGCTCGAATCCCCGACCGATTTCTGCCTGTGATCACTCGCCAACCGCCCAAGTCGCCGTCGCCTGTTCAGAGGTGGCTGGGTCGTCGGCCAAAACAGCAGATCGGGCGACGATGCTGGGGTTTACACCCAGGGCCGTCGCTTGCGATTGTGGCTCGTTTTGTGGAGTGAGGCCGATTTTGTCGGGTCAACTGGGCGCTTGCGATGTGGCCGGTATGGTGGATTTGGATATTCGGGAGGGATGCTCCATCCCACAGGAGCGAGTTCTTCAACTTGGTGATTTCCTCAATAAGTTCTCAATCCAATGAAAAGAACCTTACACATACTTAAGTGGGGTTGTTACATGGATTCTCTTCTTCGGCTCTACTTTATCAGAGGTCAACACAAAAGTTACACCATAAATGTTCATATCCTTTGTCATTCCTCATTCTGTGTGATTTTAGGTCAATATCTTCCTCGTTTCCTCTCCTAACTGATGCATTTGGCAGCCTTTGTTGAACATCATTAAATCATCCCTATCAATTCCCCCGCCATTTCTCCTCAATGAGTGCAACTTTATCCAACTCTATTCTTATTCTTATCTCCTTGTGTTTTACCAAAAAATCTTCTGAACATTCTTGTCTCAACTACACTTGATGCACACGGACACTGTTTCTTAACAACGCCAGAAATAATCTGAACTAGAAGGTATGACTAGTCAGTGAAATCATTCCTCTAAGTGATGCAAAGTGGATAAAAAGGGTGCTTGGTCCTTCACATATGAGGTGTAAGTCAACAAAATGAGAGGCATCATAATCTGGCTTTGCCACTGCCAAAACAGCCACAACAGAGAAAAATGTGCTTTAACCTTTTCTCTTAAATTCTTCCTTCATTAAAGACCAAGATGACAACTAAAGCTTGGTAAACTAATGACCTTTGAAAGGGTACAACCTAAATTTTTTCTGTTAGGGCAAACCAAGCATTCAGTCAAGTTAGACTGTATATATTGAATGGAAGAAAATAGTCTGCTCAAGCTATATTTGTCAACTCACATTTTCGGAAAACAATATGTGGTTCTAAAATTTATTTTTCATATTTTGGGGACCAATGTATAGTCCTAAAATTCCATTACTAAAATAAATGAATTTCAGTCTCAAATTACTAGAGAAACTTGATCCTAGATGTCCTTACCCACAGAGGCAATCTCTGCTACAAACCCCGGATGATCCAGCCGATGAGCTGCATGAACAAAAGATGCCATCATCCTCCTGGCGCCTTTTAACCTTCTTCTCAAGATATACATCTTGAAGTTGTTAAGATCAACAAAAAATGAAAAGGCAGGGGAGATGGGAGTCATATAGACCAAAACAGAGTTGCAAAAAATGGAATAAATTAACAGTGGATATATTGATTTGGAAAGGGGTTACCAAATGGGAATTAAAGATTTTAAGGATACTGCGCCTGATAAAGGAGTAGGGTGTAGGTTTCCATTTATGTAACCATTCAGGAAGTTCAAAGTCAACTGGACTTCCAATCTCCTCCACCAATTTATCAAATACTTGCAAAATAGCACTGCGCCCATAATACTGGTAACATATACAAAATGCAAATACAACATAAAGGCCAAGAAATTAGACTTTAAATGCATAAATCAGAACATTTACACAGATAATCTCCACAAAATCAAGGCATAAAAGAGAATAATTGGAGGAAAGGGTCTTGTAAGATTGAAAACTGATCCAAGTAAAATTCAATCATGAAACCATGATTCAATCATCTGATTGTAAAAGCAGAGTCACAAAATCGAAATAGAAAGAAAACAAAAAAGATAGCGCATAAAAAACTCCAACGGTAAAACCAATTATGATAAAACAAAGGATATAGAGCTTATGACCAACAAATACGCATACTAAGATCGAGCTGTTTGAAATAATTGAAATACATAGTAAGATAATCAATAATTATGTAATTTTCCTAATTATGATTGCAGTTTTTATAAGACTATTTGAACGGGCAGATTCCATTTTCGGTACCTATAATTCAATCTTATTCAATCAGGTAAATGTAGGGTAACTTAGTATAATTCCGTTTAGCAGTCAATGATGCCTTTCATTTATTTTATTGAAATTACAATTCATTTCCACAACTAAAGGTTGACTGTAGTAACCATCATTCATTAACTGCCATGTCATCGATTATCATCAGTGGAATTGGACAAAGTTATCTTAATTGAAATCAAATTAAAGTGCAACCGATTGAACAAAATTGAAGTACAATTGCATGATTGACACTAGAGTGAAGTATTGTTACCGTGACGGAATTTACCTACTTTAACTTACTTCAAAATAATGACACTGTATCTATGGGGATTTTCAGGCTTTCCCATCCCACTCATAATAACCAGAACAAGAGGCTTTTCTTTTAATTGGCTTCACACGTAATTTTCTCTTTAGACTACGTTTATAAGCCTCATATATGTCC